CCCACCCCCTCTCTCTCTCTCTCTTTCTCACTCTCCATCATCCTCTCTGCTCTCTATTGGAAGGTTGAAAGGGGGAAAAATCCTCTATTTATAAGCATTCAACCAATCTACATTCCTCTCATTTTCTTTTCCATCTCATCCTTCTGCCTGATTCCATGTTCGTCTTCCTCCTTGTACCAGAGTTTTTGCAGCTCATTACTCTCCCTTTATGGAAGCCTACACTTTGTTCAGATGGGTGAAGATAATCCTTTATTTACAGGCATTCCTTCTACAGCTTCTTCCAGACGAGATCATATCGACCCTTTTAGATGATGTCATTACCTCATTGGTTGTTCCACTCTTGGTCAAAAACTATACTACCTCGATCCTGTCTTCAAAGTGTGCATTAATCGGACAAACTTAAAAATCAAACCAAATGACAACTCTGTTAGTACAGATAACAAATCAATTTGGGCTTGCGTGCTGGACAAGTTTATGATGGTTTATTAGTTTTTATTAGACTTAATTTAAGGTTATGGACTTGTTCAATCTTTAAACCGGATTATAGTAAAAATTTTAAGTTTAACGAAATTTTATTTTGATTAAATCAAGTCACAAAAGTTTGATTGTTTTGGTTAGGTTTTGGACCATATTTTTTCTTGTTAGTTTCTAGACTGGCAAATTCAAATCTAATCGGATCAGCTAGTTAGTGAACTGTGCCAACCAATTGCATATCCCTAGTTTTACAAAATATTTGAAATTCATATTCATTTTGAAATTATTTTAATCAAAGCATAATAAGATGTTGCTATTTTGTTTATAGTTCCAAATGAGATGATCCTTATACAATTCCTGTTAAAAAAATAATTAAGTTTTAATCCATACTAAGTAGAGAAAATGATCAAAATAGTTCCTTAGTTCTTTATGAAGGATAAAATGATCCCAACTATATCAAATCATCATCTTGGTCTCTCAAATATTTATAAAGGAATCAAGCTTTCTTTTCAAAGAGTTGAGGGATCAAAATGATCCTTTAATATAGTTTGGGACTATCTTGATCTTTCATAAAAGAGTCAATGGACCATTTTGATCATTTTTTCATACTAAGCACGTTAAAAACAAAATTAAGAAAAAGGGGGGGGGGGGGGGGGGGGGGAAAAAAAAAAAAAAAAAAAAAAAAGAGAAAAAATAAGAAGGCCTATAACAATTGGTACACAGAAAAATGAAATAATCCAAATCAGTCTTATTTTTGCTATCCCATGACAAAGAAGAGGATCAAGTTGTTTTACTTCATTGTTTTGTATCTTTGGGTCACATATTAAATGATATGGCTAAGGTGATGAAGTTTCGAGCTTTTTTTTTAAGTTTCGAGCTTATTATAATATGATCTTAGTTTCATCAGTTACTTCATGTTGAGTTTTAAACTCCTTTTACTTATATTCAGCTATTAAAGTTCCTCTTGCTGTGCTTGGGGCTGAGCTAGACAAGATTTCACCACCAGAGCTACTGAAGCAATTTGAAGAGGTTTTGTCCTCCAATTCTGAGGTAAATGCATCCAATTTAAAATATTATATTTCCATTATTTCTGTCAAAAGGGTTCATTGTCTTTTTTTTTTTTTAATAAATAAAATGTCTTTACAATGTTCTATACAAGAACAATACCCGCTCTTGCACACGAAAAATTAATTTGTGCGGATTCCGGACGGCGTTCGGAGACTAACCATAATGCGCCACATCATTTTTTTGCTCGGTACCGGTGCTCAGTACCGCACGGTACCAGGTGATGTGGCGCATTCTAGTTGATCTCCGAACCGTCTGGTGTCCGCACAGAGTAATCTCTCCTTGCACACCTTCCTGGCTTGGGGTGCCACCTCAGTCAGTTGAATGCATTAGGCATCACTAGGAACTTATTGAAAATATTCCCCCTGAAAATGTTAATGAACTGCTAATCAATTTCACATAAATTATAGCTTTAGCACATTAAAAAAAAAAAAAAAAAACTTTGCATAAAAATGTTTCTTATCATCATGGAAGGTTGATAGCTATGTGAAGATCTTTCCCGGAGTTGTACATGGATGGACTGTGCGCTATGATGTAGATGATGAAGCAGCTGTGCAGAACGCTGAAGAAGCTCATAAAGACATGATTGATTGGTTTACTAAGCATCTTAAATAAAAAGCCCTTTGACTGAAATAGATCGAGAGACATCTATGTAATAATATATACTTATGTAACATTGTTGTGAACTTGGTCTATATCATTCGTAGAATATTATGCTACATATTAATATTTCATATTTGGACCCTTCAACAAGTTTGAGATACTGCATTAGCTAAAGTTTGTCTGCTTTATTTCCTCTAAACCAGTGAGAATACCTTCTTGTAGGAGTGTCAATTTTGGGTCAACGGGTCGGGTTCGGGTCGAATCCATAACTGACCCAGCACTATTCGGGTCAACCCGAACCCGACCCATTTTAAAAACGGGTCAGGTTTTTAGACCCGAACACGATTCGAGTCCGGCTCAACCTGACCCGACACAAATGAACCGAAGTTGACCTAAAATTACTAGTTTTCGAGTAAAAAATCGGGTCAATCTTGAATTTTTGGGTCAAAATGGTTCAATCTCGGGTTTTCAGGTCAAATTGGAGTTTTCGTGTCAATTTCGGGTTGCTGGGTCAACCCAAATCAGACCCGATTTTTAAAATGGGTTGATTTGTTGAACCCAAACCCAACCCATTTTTGGGTCTGGGTTGACCCTAACTCGGATTTTTCCGAGTTGGGTTTGGGTCGTGTTTCGGGTCATGTCAAAAATTGACACCCCTACCTTCTTGAAGGTTTTTTGGTGCAAGATCTGTGCAATCTTAACCTGAGCTATGGATGAGGATATAGGCTAATTTAATTAGATCTATCACACCCCATTTTGATCCTCCCTTACGATCAATCTGGAGTATAACAGCGAAGGAAAATATATATAGGTCCCTTCTTACCAACACATATTATGAGCTACTTCTATCAAAATCACATATGTATTTAGACTCTGATCTATATTTGAACCATGCTTGTTCTTGTCGCCACCGCCATTAGATTGAGAACAAAGACAATTTCAGAGTCGTCTTGGTCATCTCGGTTGTACAAGGGATATGCAAGGTTTATCATTATCAATAGTTTTCAAACTCATAATAGTGTATTTATTGCATATTTTAAGAGAATTTGGCTATTTAAATATAGCAATTATAAAGTATAATTGTTATTTTAGATTTTCCTGAAGAAGAAAAGTATGAGTTTGAAAACATTAAAATTTGATTTATCATCTATCTTTCAATCAAATTCACAGCACTAATGCCTTGGCATGAGATCAATTGCTTTACTATTCATTATATTCTTTTGAACTAAACTATTTTGCTCTGCTATTTAGGGTTTATGTCTCATTTGGAATAATTTTTTTATTGATTTTTAAAGTAATTTTTTAATAAAAAATTATATTAAAATTTTATTTTATAAAATTGAAAAAAAAAATACTAAACTAAGCCTTAATTAATCCCTAGTAGAATACTAAAATATAAAAATTATAAATTACAACAATTATTATTAAAATTTTCACATTCAAAGTGCCAAAGTTGCTACTTCACACCTTTGGACCGTTGGTGATCGGTGATCCTATTGTATTCCATTTTGTATTTACTTAAAATTACTATGATTTGCTGATAAAAATTTAAAATCACAATAAAGTATTGAACAATTTTAAAATTACAAAATAAATCATCCCAATAAAACCAACTTAGAAGATAACGGCTATGATCAAGATGAGGATAAGACTATTGATAATGATAAAATTTAAAATTTTAATTTTTAAATAAAAATATTGACTAAAATATAATTTATTTTGAATTAAATTTAATGAATTGTATATATATATAAAGAGAGAAAAAAATGAGCAAATTGGTCTCCTGATTTTTCTAAATGATCAAAATAATTCTTAATTATTTAAAAATATTAATTTAATCTTTGACTCTTAAATCAGGATCTTTCATAGGATCAATTAAATTCTTATTGAAAAAATAATAATCAAATATATTTAGGAGAAATTATAAAAATGAGCATATAATTAAATTAAATTAGTTATAAGAGCTCAAAAGGGCCAAATATTTTAAAGGGAGCAGGTAGGGGTGTCAATTAGGGTCAACGATTCGGGTTCGGATCCAATCTGAGCTAACCCGAGTGTAAACGGGCTGACCTAACCTAGCTAGCTAAATAGATCAGGTTTTTCAACCAGGACCTGATGGGTCGGGTTTCAAGTCGTGTAAATATCATTCATATTAAGAAATTCAACCTCAAAAATACTATAAAAAATGTGATAATTCCTCTAATAAAGTTGTCCATCCATTCTCCCTCAGAATATGCTGTCTTTGTTTGGATATTTTCACAAATTTTATTGCATTTTTTTATGTCTTGATCTTTCATTTATAATGATTATGATAACTCATGTGTAATTTTCGAGATATCAATCATCAAATACATTATGAAAATAAAATCAAAGGATTCCATTGTATCAATCAGAACACCTGCTTCAACTGACTATTGATCATGTACCCTTCATCTTTAACAATTTCAAGCACCTCAATTAGAAAAGCATACATTCTCATGAGACTAATTAAAAAATAAAAATTTGAACTCCCTCGAATATCACCTGATATTTATAAATTAGTCTCATGATTTAAACATTGACTGCTCAAGAGATTGTCTCTTTAAGATGAGAAAGTATTTTTTCATGCTGAATAAATTTTAGAGCATCCGATCTCTTACACAAAGCCCTAATAATATTTATAATTTTAGAAGTAAACTTAAATAGATGTTTCACTTGCCAATAATTCTTCGTTGCTGCTACCAAATAAAGTTTGAGTTGATGGACGTCAAAGCAATGAACATAAAATGCTTGAGGATAATCATGAAGTATTAGTGCCTTCATATCATTAAATTCTCCACGCATATTAGATGCCCCATCATAAGCTTGATCGTATATTTTATGAATGCTCAACGAGTGTTTTGCAAGTATGTTTTCAATGGTTACCTTCAGGATTATTGCATGAGTTTAACCAATATGTGTAATGCCTATAAACATAAGACACGAGCAGGTTGAGCCCTCCATGAGGCGACAAAGACCGTCAGAGGCTGGACCATCAATATAATACTGGAATCCTGTACGACGTGCAATGGGGTTATAGTACTTATTAGAGTGAGATTCATGCACAACATTCTTTTTTTGGGGACATTTAGGCCATTTAAGGCAAACTCATACACACAACGCATACGCATAGACTCTAACCCTGAACCTTTTAATTGGAAGCCTAAGCTCTCAACCAATAGGCCAAGGAGAATTGTATGCACAACATTCACCTATGCAAGAAAACATTGAGCATGCAATTCGCTTTATGGGTTACTTCTTCTGATCAGCCATCATCACATGCTCAACAAGATGTGCTCCTTCAGCAAAGTCAGCTAGAAGTAACTAATGCAGACGAGCAGATGGAAGATAGGGGTGCAACTGAGGGGCATAATTTCTAAAGACCTCGTAAGCCATCTATTAGGTTCACAATGGGGAGTGCGGCCATTCTCCCTCATAGAAGAAACTAGGCTAGCAACTAATGTTGCACTACTTTTATTTTTGTATAAATTTTTGGAATTTTAAATTTCAATGAGATCCACCATGATTATATTATACTAAAAAATTAGGATAAAATTGCATAATTGTATTTTATAAACATTATTATTATAATTGTTGCGTCCTGGAATATTCGCGGCGGTAGAGAAATATATAGTTTAACGTCTTAGCGTTGTACGAAGATCCAGCACACAATCAGATAAGTGAGAGGGTGTAGCGTTCATAAGAGACACCAAAGTTTTTACATGGAAAACCCCTGAAAA